GGGCTGTCCAAACTCGGTCCTGGAGGGCCGGTGTCCTGCAGAGTTTAGCTCCAACTTGCCTCAACACACCTGACTGAAAGTTTCTATGCCTAGTAAGAGCTTGATTAGCTGGTCCAGGTGTGTTTAATTAGGGTTGGAGCTAAACTCTGCAGGACACCGGCCCTCCAGGACCGAGTTTGGACAGCCCTGTCTTAGATCTTCTGAACTTGGCCTTTTGTCCATCCCTCGTTTTCAGTTGGCTACTGTAGGTGGAAGGTCATTTAGTGTTAATGCTCCTAAATTATGGAACTCACTACCCCTTACTCTCCGTACCATCCCATCTTTGACTGTTTTCAAGAGTTAAAAACATATCCATTTAATATGTACTTTGGATAACGGCTATATGTTGTATATGTGTTCATATTGTATTTGTATTGTCTATATTGCTTGTGTGGATGTACTAAACTACTTGTTATATGTAAAGTGACCTTGGGCTACGGAAAGGCGCTATATAAATAAAACTTCTTCTTCTTCTTCTTCTTCTTATTCATTCTCCCTGTGGAAACATCAACATCAAAATTGAGCTAAAAGTGCTGCATCCAATTAGTTCAATCCTAATTAATTAAGAAGCACTACAATTAAGAAGGGACCTTCAGTAACTGTTAAAGATTGTAAACATGTTGTGCTTTTAATAGAGCCATTGTTTTTGAATCAATCCTAATGTTACACACTACGTTTTTGTTTAATTATAGGTGGGAACTTATTCTAATAGTGCCGGCATCAAATGGCAAGCAATGACTCCGCTAGGGCTGCACGATATATCGTTTCAGCATCGAAATCGCGATGTGCGACGTTTAGTATACTGATCGTTATTCCGTATGGACAGGTACAGGGTTCGAAACGCAGGTGATTATTGGATTAATTGCAAAGTTTAGCCATCATACAATAAAGGTTCATCATTTGCATGTGTTTTAGGTCCTGTCGGTTTAATCTTTCAAGCTATTTTAAACCATTTGAGTACGAGAAGGTACGAAATAGAGCTCAATTATGAACAAACGCACTGTTTTCTTTGCTCACACAAAGACACCGTGTCTACACTGGACGCGACAAAGCGACCTTTGCAAATCATTTGAACTTTGTGTCAGTACGTCATAAATAGAACGCGGCATCAGTTTACTGTCGGGGATTTGTCGTGTCGCGCCGCATCCAGTGTAGACAGCATCACTGATTATATTGGGTTCTAGCCTATAGTATTTTGTCGCGCCGTGCCAGGCCACTCGTGTCCGGTGTAGACACGGTGAGAGCAGCGCAGATGCATGTGAACACTGAATTCACTTCCGCGTCTATTTGTGCCTGAAATGACACATACCGTTTACTGTCAAAATGCATGTCTCTACAAGTATCCTTGTAAACACAGTTGCTTATGGCTTAGGTGAAGGTAAACAATTGAGAAAGAAAATGGTTGTGTAACAGTATATTGGTGTCATGAACGTTAATCAAACGACAAAACACAAAGAAATTAATGTTCCTGTTGCTTTCGGTGTCATGTTAATCAAACAACAAAACGCAGAAAAAAATCACTTTTGTAGCTTTAACACAGATTTATTAGATTTAATTTATATAGTGAAGACTATGCGGTGTTATTTTACATTTGATTATTTAATTTCTGTACCTGCATACTGTTAGCTACGGAAAGGCGCTATATAAATAAAACTTCTTCAAATAGAGCTATTCAAGTCATCTGGTGATGACAAAAAATAGCAGAAAAACAAAATATCGCAATGTGAGTTTTTTTCCAATATCATGCAGCCCTAGACTCAGCAGAGCAGCGCTAATTTAGAGCTGAAGTGTACACACTTGTTCTCCGAGTCAGCAGGTGGGTGCTCCTCTCTTTCAGGGGTGTCCTCAGTGACATTTGACTGGTCAAGCTCGCTGTAAATGGAAAGGAATGCATCTAATTTCACAAAACTAACATAATGAACCAAAATAACTCCAACTGACCAGTATGTGAATTAAATTCATCTGCGTTTTTGGCAGACAAAGGATCTGTTGCTCCACTGACCTCAACTCATCCTTAACAGTGCCCCAGTTATGAGATCCACTCCCTCCACGTTTTTCCTCTTTCAGGCTGCTGAAACAAAAATTAACACTTAGCTTTGATGTCACACAGGTGGCATTACATTTGGAGTTAACATGTGGATGCAAATGACTTACGATCGGTCGCTACCGCTGTGTCTGTCAAACTCGCGTTTGCCGCGAGAGTCAAAGCCGTCAGTCCTGCCAACACCTCTGCCCCGGCCTCCGCGTCCTCCTCTGGCACCTCCACGACCCCGGAACGGCCTGTCACTGACAGACCTGAAGAGGAGAGATAATAAAACAGTTAGATGTCAGTCGTTTCTGATGAAATTATCTAAATTTGGATCTTAACTACAGTGCAACTTTATGCAGGAAAAAGGATGGATTAAGATCCTTTAAAGGTTTAAGTGGATTACCAGAGAAAAGTCGGGTGTTTTCACTAAGAGTTTATGAAATTCTGAATGAACATTGAGTTCAAAAATTATTTTCAAAATGAAACAATAAGAATTATTCACAGTAAGATCTATAACATGCATTTTTTTTAAATTAGGGTGATTTTCATTTCACATCGACTTCACATTATCTGAAATAAAACAAAACATGAAAAAATAAAGCATTAAAAACAAAAGTATCCTTCTGTTTGAATTTAATGTTTTCAATATAAAACTTAAAGTATCAACTATGCATTACCACACAAACAAAGGTCAATTGACTTACTTTTCCACTGAGAATTCTCCACCTTCATCAGGTTTTTCATCAGCGGGTTTGTCAAAGCGTCGTTCACGTGGTGGCCTCCTGTCAGGTCGCCTGTCGGCTGGTGGACGACCCTCCCCCTGACCTCCCTGCGGCTGGGATCCTGGCTGACCCTGCTGCTCCGGTCGGCGGCCCATTTTCCTCATGCCTGCAAAACAGACACAATAATGATTCAACTCCACTGATACCAACAAGCATCACAGAAAACAATAATGAATGAGATGGGGGGTAAAAAACACTAGAACAAAAGGCGTTGTCTCAATCTGAATCATATAAAATTCACTTCAATTAATGTGCTTGACAAGTACAAAAATTGTCATTATTCACTCACCCTCAAAATTGCTCCAAAACAGTGTTACTCTTTTCATTAGTGTAACTCTAGAGGCTGAATTACAGAATCTACCACCAATCACTTTTATTAAAAAAATGTTTGGTGTTATTTTACATTTGATTATTTAATTTCTGTACCTGCATACTGTTAAGACTTACCTAAAAAATATAAAGCACCGTTTATTTTATTTGTATCTTTGTTCTATTATATTTATCTATGCTTGTAATTTGTGTATTTGCTATGCTGATTTTACTCACCTACAAAATCACCCCAATCATTGATTATTTTTTCCAAATAGAGCTATTCAAGTCATCTGGTGAATTTTATTTATCTATGCTTGTAATTTGTTTATTTTCTATGCTGATTTACTCGCCTACAAAATCACCTACAAATAATCATTATTTATTTTCCAAATAGATCTCTTAGATCAGGGCTGTCCAAACTCGGTCCTGGAGGGCCGGTGTCCTGCAGAGTTTAGCTCCAACCCTAATTAAACACCAATATAAAACTTAAAGTATCAACTATGCATTACCACACAAACAAAGGTCAATTGACTTACTTTTCCACTGAGAATTCTCCACCTTCATCAGGTTTTTCATCAGCGGGTTTGTCAAAGCGTCGTTCACGTGGTGGCCTCCTGTCAGGTCGCCTGTCGGCTGGTGGACGACCCTCCCCCTGACCTCCCTGCGGCTGGGATCCTGGCTGACCCTGCTGCTCCGGTCGGCGGCCCATTTTCCTCATGCCTGCAAAACAGACACAATAATGATTCAACTCCACTGATACCAACAAGCATCACAGAAAACAATAATGAATGAGATGGGGGGTAAAAAACACTAGAACAAAAGGCGTTGTCTCAATCTGAATCATATAAAATTCACTTCAATTAATGTGCTTGACAAGTACAAAAATTGTCATTATTCACTCACCCTCAAAATTGCTCCAAAACAGTGTTACTCTTTTCATTAGTGTAACTCTAGAGGCTGAATTACAGAATCTACCACCAATCACTTTTATTAAAAAAATGTTTATCAAAAAAAGTTAACGTCATAGTAGTCCATAACGAAAATTAACCATGGTTTTACTACAAATTAACCAAAAAAACATGGTTACTATAGTTAAACCATGGTATCCACAAATTAACCATGGTTTTGCTAAACAATAGTTTAACCAGGGTATTTGAAGTAAAACTGGTTATACAAATGGTATTCAATACGCCAAAAAAAACATGGTTGCTGCACTTTTACTACAATGAAACCATAGTTAATTTTCGTAAGGGGTATCTCATAAAGCTTTAAAACAACACGAGGATGTTAATACATTTAATTTCTAGAAACACTATACTTTTAACTAAAAATGGACAGAAATTATCTGAAAGGGAAGAACGATGTAAATACACACTATTATTCTATTACTTCTTCAGCTGGACTGTCTATTTTCCTTATTTACTTGCGCAGGGGACGTGTTTTTTTTTCTATACTTAGTTTTCACACTAGCAAAGCAATAAAACCCACGCTGTGGGTCTCGATAATAATGGTTTGCGCCTCTTGACTGATCCCACCCTCACCCACAGAAATAGACGCTCTCGCGCGACCCACCAGCTGATCACGCGCCGCCCGCCCGCACCTGTTCACGAGCCGCTGCCTCCTCTCATCCAGATCAGTCAGGGCCACTGACACCCGAAAAAAAACTTGACAGCCCTACGTTACCTTCAGAATAGTAAAGACCGGCGCAATTTTAAAGCACGTAATTAAGTTAAAAACCGGCGTTGAGCGAATAACAATAGGAGGGTTTTCAATGGGAGTGTCGTGTCTGCGAGGACGGACTCTGTTGCCTCAAACACGAGGTTGGAGCTGCACTGCTGCTCGACGCTAATAAAAACCCATGCGATAACGGACTGTGCATTCGGAGGCTATCAATAAACAGTTTTTTTTAGCACTGAATGGGACATTTTTACTAGTATGTTGAGTTAAATGCACAAATATACCCGACATTTAACAAACAAACTGATGGTTATCATCAGGCCTGCAGTTCGTGAAGGATCTAGAAAATAATTAAGCAGCAACAGGTTCCACTAACGTGCGTCACACAGAAACAATGTACGTCGCGAAAAAGCATATTTGCTGAAAGCGCTGGAAGTTTTTGAGATGTCAGGCAGTTCATCAACAATAGTGATGTGCGTGACCTCATGGGCTTAGTAAATTAGCTCCTTTTGCAGACTAACGTTACTCACTTAGGAAAAGTATGAGCAAATGACGAGTTCAATGCAAGCGATGTTTACCATCTTTCTTGAGAGGAACGGGAGCTTGTGTCTCTTCCTTCTTCTCGGGAGCTGGGTTCCTTCTTTCTTTCTGTGACTCCTTTTTGGACTGCTTTGCAGCCTGCGCTGCGGTCTTGGCGGCACCAGGAGCGGTCGCGTCCTTCTTTTCTGCCTGCTTTAACAGCTCAAACGGATCCTCTTCATCATCAAATAGCTGCTCGAACCGATTGGTTACGACACAGCAGAAACCTTCTTGCAGATGTCCGGGCATGATGGCCCCCTTTCAGCAGGATTCTCCTCCGATTCTACGGGGCTTGAGCGAGCACTGCGCTGCGAGATGCCACAAGATGGCTGGAAAAGACTCGCGCTTCTCTTCCGGCGTAAAAGACATCCGGGACTCTGGCCGCAAAGTCGTATGGGACATGTAGTCGCACAATATACTCCAGAGAGAAGAGAGAGAGAACTGACTCAGCATTGTTATTTGCTAGATTGGCTTTTGTATTGTCATTGTATTAAAATTATCTATTATTGTAGATAGAAGATTACGTAAAGATCTATAAATCTAAATATTTCACTTAATATTTTTATTAGTGTCAAAGCTGTAACTGTCAATGAATTAACTTAAAATAGAAGAGTAAAGCACCCTTTTTAACAAAGTATAAAAAAAAGTGTTTTACCCATTGACACAGACCCCTAATACCCCTTGCAAGGTCATATGTCAGGTCATATGACCCCATGACTGGTCTTCTAAACAGCTCAAATTAGCTTTGGATTACTGGAGTAACCCTATCAAAGCAGGCATTCAGCAATCTTTGTGAGAAAAATGTGTCCTGTCACAAGTTAATTATTGGGTGCAAAGCTTGAATTCTCTTAGCAGTTTAATTATAGACATGTCTGAATAGGGTAGGCTAAAGTAGGATAGGTTGATGATGTTGTTACAGGCCTATTTGTCTACCAGGACCAGGTGAACAAAGTAAGCCTAATTATATCATGATCACATAAAAATGATCTTAAAAACTGTTTTCGTTGCTTTTATCTTTTATTTACTACTTGAAAATTATTTTTATGTATGCATTATTATTGTTTTACCCTTGTCCCAGACTCATGTTCACCTAAAATTCTGTCATCATTTACTCACACTTACGTCATCATTATTTTGGTTAACATTGACTTCCATTGTATGGAAAATATTGAGAAATTTCTCAGAATTCCTCTTTTACACAGAAGTCATACAGGCTTGGGGTTGTGTAAGGGTGTGTTCACACTTGGCAGGTTTGGTTGAAATAAAACGCTGGTGCAATTACGCTGTTAGTGCAGTTTAAGTGTGAAGAAACCTTGGTGTGCACCAAACAAGCTTCTAAATGAACTTTGATGCGGTTTGCCTGAAATAATGGAATACAGAAAAATGAATAAAGAACAATTTTGTCTAAAATAATCCCTGATGTGTGGGGAAATATCAAAGTAAATATCACTGGTGAGCAGAATAATTTATTGTGTGTCATTCAAGTTATTCAAAAAGTGTAAAAATGTTATTTAATTGTACTTCCTTTAGCTATGAAATCATCCTTAGAGCAAGCAAAACAAGTAAGTCAGTGTCCAATTATCACAATTGCCACCACAAATACTTTATTTGTGAGAACTGATACTGTTAATGCTCATATTTTCTGACAGCAATACGCCTGGGGTCAAATTAAATACTAGTTTAAAACAGTGTTTTTCTCCACGTGCCCTCTCATACAGTTAACATCAGTGTAGCCTACAATCTAATTTCTCTAGTATTGACAAAGCTTCATAGTGAAGTGCGAAACTTTCCTTGAACTGTCATAAAGACAGAAGCAATTCAATTGTGATGCTCAAGCGCACAGGAGGACTGAAGACGACCGTGATTCACGGACATTGAGCTAAATGGACTTTGACCAGTTCACGGTTTATGTATTTGTAGAAAGCAAGGATGCAGAATGTGGTGACGGAGGCGATGATTGAGTCTTATGCGCTCATGTTTTTGGCGATGACAGCGTTTTTTGCGTACTTTTGTGGCATGGTCTGGGCATTCTGCAACCCTAAACTCAGCGGCTTCAAACAGAGTGCGACACGAGCAGTTTTTCTCAAGTCCCTCTGCAACAAATCTTTGCGGATCTTGAAGATGTGGAAACAACTCAGCCGCTACATACACGACATTTATCCAGCCACGAATTGCTGGATCAACCGACACGCACATCGCTTCATCATCCTATATTGTGGATTAATACTGTGAATTTTAAAGAAAACATCACAAAGTATGCTCCAGCTTCATTAGTTATATTCATAGTAAGTTACCCAATCATCTGTAACCAGAGGACTCCAGCGTCAAGACAAAGGTAAGACTGACAAGTCCTCGTATTACATGTACTCAGAAATCTCTAAACTTAATAAAGCATACAAAGTCAAGTTGGTTTCATCATGCACGTTTCTTTATGAACACAGGGAAGTGCATCTTTATGATCTTCGTCACCATGGCGACCCATCAATATCTGCAATCTCCCTACATTGCCAACTCTCATCCAGAGTAGCCTATTACAATCATTAGTTTCTTATATGTATATTAATTTAATGCTATGTAGTTAAATAAATTGTTACAAGGCACTTAATATTACTTTGTTGCATTTGCTTTGTACGTTGAGAGCTAACACAGAAAAAAAGAATAGATTGTAAAAAAGTCTCAGTTGCACATATGTATCTACTGCGAGTGTATTGCAATATTTATTTTTATTTTTTTTGTAGGAAGAAAGTTCAATTTAAATCTTAAAACAAACACTATAAAGAGTGAATTATTAATTATAAAATGTACACATAAAGTTCCAGACATAAATTTTTATTAACTGGAAAGAGCAGATTTAGTTTCCTTTTTCACAGCCTGTGCTGATTTTGGCCCAAATCACTCAGCAGTGACACCATACTATATATTTTAGGAACATTATTCAGGAAGAAGCCCCTTTGGGGGCACAATAAAATGGACATTAAAAACAGCTAAAAATACATGACAGATTTCTGGTCCCATTTTCATCAGAGTCAGAGACTGACTACAATGGTAAAAACCATTCAACTTGGAATGCACTGCACAAAACCAATATAAATTGCACAATACTTATAAGTAGCTCAAACAGTAGAGCATGGTGATAGCAAAGCCAGTCGAAATGTGTTATAAAGCGATAGAATGCATGAGGTTTTGTGTCCATATTTAGTTTTTTGCTTTTATATCTACATCCTCGTCTCGCAGTTTCTTCCTCACTGTATCCTCAAATTCTAAAAGCTTCACATAGAGGGCCTCTGACACGTTTTCATCAATATCCATCTGAAAACACACAAAAAGCAATTAAATTATGGACAGTATCAGTAATGAATGGTACGAACAAGATCAACAGCTGAAAAACATGAAAGTCCATGCATTGCTTTGCATAATTAACCAAATCACAAAACATATAAACCCTATAGACTAGAATGGAAGCCTATTATTAATTGGATTTAAAATAGGCTTAAAATAGACTAAAATTGGCATAAAAATAGATAAGTGAGAGAACCTGATTGTCAGTTCTGACCTTGTGTGGTTGGGTGTAATTGTTTCCAAGCCCAGAGGTCAAACTGTGGTATTTGGCCATCGGGTCCAGTGACTCAGGTTTCTGCATGAACAGCCAAAACTGTGTAATAAAAACAATAGATGAAAACTGAGACTAGGAGAAAGCAATGAGGCCCAGACAACTGTGAATGAACTGAGTCATTTCTCCAACTGACATGCAACACTAAGCTTCAAAAACTATTAGAATCAAAGTGGTTTCACATCTCGACTGATTTTTTCCATTCCTTGTACTATGCAACATTTACAGATTCACCGTTGAACAATTCAGAAGTTCAAAATTAATGGAGTACAATTCATGGTTAAACTTGATGGTGCTATATGAACATCTGTGATGGTGCTGGTAATTACCAAAGCCTCTGCTCCATTGTAAGGTGAGAGGGTAAAAGTGTTGGTGAAAATCCTTATCTGATGAGATAGGACAGGACATTAACAAAATGTTAAATTTGTGTAACTTTTCTATTATTGTGTTGATATTCAAAATGAAGTAAATTGAGGACCTACAAGCCACATTATTGGCATGATGAGAGTCCAGAAGAATGATGGTAGAATGCCATAGGTGAGGTTAGTCATGACCAGACCAGGACAGATCACTGATGCGTACAAACCCTGTGAACAGATCACTAGTATTCATGACTAAATCACAATTATGATAATCATTAATAATTACTATAAAACATGTCATGCAATAAACCATTTTCTGTAGGGAACTGTGAACTTACACGGTTGTTGTAGTGACGGTTTAGGGCTAAGCTAAGTAGATCAGACGCATATTTCGAGGAGCTGTACGGCTCACGGCCTTTCTGATGCTGTATGTCATCTAGACTAAAAGCTGATCGCTGGGCATTACTGGAGGATGTCCAGATCACTAGAGAATTGTGGTCCATCTGACACAATAAGGGCTCCAGTTCTCTCACCTGTCACAGAAGCAAAAAATGCAGTTGGATCAGGAATTGTACTGCTTAATTTCTGAACCATTTAAAGTGCTAAACAATTTTGCCTCCATTGTTTGGCCACACTGTAAAAAAATCAAAAGTTGAGAAAACTTAAAAGTTTAAGGCAACCAGCTTCAGGAGATTTTTTAGTTTTCTCAACTTGTTGTATTCAGTTTATACCACAAAAAGTTGAGAAAACTTATACAATTTTAAGTTTTCTCAACTTTTGATTTTTAACAGTGCATAAACTTTCACCATTAGTTGAGTCATAAAAAAGACTTGTATATAAATTATGAATTAAAAAATAAAAATATACACTACTCTTTTTATGTTTTTGAAAGAAGTCTCTTATGCTCACAAAGGCTGCATTTATTTAATTAAAAATAGAGTAAAAACAGTAAAAAAAAAAAAGAAAGAAATATTATTAACAATTTAAATAGCTGTTTTCTATATTAACATATTTTAAAATGTAATTCATATCAAGCTGAATTTTCAGCAGCCAATACTCCAGACTGTCACATGTCACAAGATTTTTCAGAAAGTATTCTAACATTCTGATTTGGTGCTCAAGAAAGAAGTAATTTTATCATCAATATTGAAAACAGTTGTATTGCTTATGTTATGTTATAGTGTTTTTTCTGGATTCTAGAGAAATAGAAAGTTAAATAGAACAACATTTATTTGAAATTGAATTTACTGAACAACATTCTTTTTGTAACATTTAAATATCTATATAACCTTTAAACAGTAATGTAGATTTTTACTAAATCTACATTACTTATATATATATATATACAGTGGGTACGGAAAGTATTCAGACCCCCTTAAATTTTTCACTCTTTGTTATATTGCAGC